TGGGATGGAGTTCCAGAGTGTGGGAGCAGAGAGGCTGAAAGCCCGGCCACCGGTGGTAGGACAGGTCAGGCGGAGACACGGAGCAGCCGGAGCCCGCTGAACGGAGGGAGCGGGCAGTTTATGGAAGACTCTTAACACATAATTAACCAAAATAGTCTTCCCGAATTAATTTTCCAAACGGAATTTTGGAAGTATAATAATAATAATAATCCTGGCATTTGATACAGCGCCTTATCACGTCTTCAAGACATCTCAAAGCGCTTCACAGGATATACTGTAAAGTGAATCGACTGTGTATTTTGTGGGCGAAACGTGAGAGCCCATTGTGATGGTGATATGTCAGTGATAAATACATTCGTCTCAATCTCTCCCTTCGAAGGAGGGTGGACGCCTGGGCCAGGCGGAGGGGCCGTGGACACGCTTTGAAGAATGTTGACCATCGCGCATTTGCACGTGGATCTCCTGACGGAAATCCTGTCCTACGTCCCCGGCAGGGAGCTGGTGGTGAAGTGTCGCCTGGTTTGCCAGCAGTGGAGGGAGCTGGTGGATGGAATCCACGTTTGGAAACTCAAGTGCGTTCGGGAAGGATACTTTAAAGAATGTTGGGAGACCTACCCAGCAGACTGGAGTAAATATTACATCCTTCGGCCCTTGTGTAGAAACTTACTCAAAAACCCGTGTGCAGAAGGTATGTATCAACCTCACATCGCAATCCTGATACTATTGGAAAAGAGAAGAGAGTTTTTCCCGGAATTCTTACCCAACAACCCGCGCACCCCCCCCCCCAATTAAAATTGATCATGGCTGATGGCGGGACATTGCTGTGCACAAATCCCTTCAAATATAAATAAAGTTATAATTAATTTGGTCACTCAATCCACGACTGTGTGGGACACTAGCTGTGCTGTGTGTAATTGTCTGCCGCGTTTCAACCACAAAATAGAGTCAATCCACTTGATAGTATTATCAAGCCCTTTAAGTTGTCTCGTCAACGTGATAAGGCGCTATATCAAATGCAAGGATCATTTTTATTATTCCTGGTGGTGGAGGGACTCGGGCTTTTTGTTCCAGATAAATTTGGCCTCTGGATTCTTATTTTATTTTCATTTTGTTTTATTTACAGAAGGTTTTGCCGACTGGACCCTGGAGGCTAATGGTGGAGATGAGTGGGCAGTGGAGGAAATGTCAGGGGAGCATACAAAATATTTTCCGGAGAAAAATGTGAAGAAGTATTTTGTAACGTCTTACGAGTAAGAATTGGGTGTTGAAAGAGGCAAGCGAGAAGGCGAGGTGGAGGGACTGTGGGATAGAGTTCCAGAGGGTGGGAGCAGTGGCAGAAAGCCCGATCGCCAATAGTGGAGTGAGTGAGGTGGGGGGCGTGAGCAGGATGATAGGGGGTTAGGTAGGGGGGAGGCAAGATCTTGGAGGGCTTTGAAGGTGAGGACCAGGATTTTGGTCAGACCCCATCTGGAGACTGTGTTCAGTTTTGGGCACCGCACCTCAGGAAGGATATATTCAGACATCAGGGCCTGAATGAGAGCAAACTTCCTGCTGCTGAATGTGGACAAGCCTCCTCAACCCCCCTGGGCTCTCCCTCAGACTCACCAAACTAGTGTGCAACCAAAGGGTCCAGTTTGACCCACATCTTTCTTTCCTCCCCCACATCCGGTCCCTGACCAGGACCGCCTTCTTCCACTTCCGCCACATTACTCTCCTCCGACCGTCCTTACCCCAAATGCAGCTGAAACCCTTGTGCGTGTGTTCCTTTAATTGCCTCCATTGTGAGATTTAATCTCTTCGCTCGGATCTGCTGCTTTCATTATGAATGTATAAGCAAGTATTTTTCAACGCAAAAAGTTTCTGTTTGCATCCTAATGGAATTTTTAATTAGACAGGGAACTAAAGTCATTCAGCCCTCTCCTCTCCTCTCTCTGACTTCCCACTTATAGCCGGGCTCAATCACCAGCCTCTGAGTTAGGAGGTTGTACATTAGAGCACTTGCATCGCAAGTGAGAGGACCTGGGTTTGATTCCGGGGCAGGGCGAGACGTTGGGCAAGTTTCCCTGCTCCACACGCCTCTCTTCACCCAGCAGTAAGTGGGAACCCAGTTGTAGCCGATTGGTGGATTGCTTTTCCAGGTGTAATAATCTCTGAAAAAAAATGATAATAATAATAATTTGGTCACTCAATGGACGTCTGTTTGTGCACAATTGACTGTCACGTTTTGCCCACGAAATATAGAGTCAATACACTTCACAGTGTAAAGTGATTCCAGCATTAGAACACTCGCCTCGCAAGCGAGAGGACTTCTGCTTTTGTTTTGTCATATTGCCCGCCTCCGACCATACTTTACCCCAAATGCAGCCGAAACCCTCGTGCGTGTGTTGTCACCTCCCGCTTGGATTACTCCAACCCCCTCCTCGCCGGTCTCCCCAGCTCCACCATTCACAAGATCAGCTCATTCAAAACTCTGCCGCTCACATACTGACCCCGACAAACTCCGTCCCCACATCTCACCAGCTCTGGCCCCGGCTCCACTGGCGCCCCATCACTGAACGCATCGACTTCAAGGTCCTCTCACTCTCGTGTTCAAACCCATTCACTCCCTGGCATCTCCCTCCCTGTCCAACCTCCTCACTCCCCAATCCACCACCCGGCACCTCTTCTTGACTGGCACCGGCTCCCACTCGTCTCTCCCATCCTCCGCCCCACCATCGGAGGTTGAACTTTCAGCCATTACTTCCCAAAACTCTCACTGCCTCAATCCATCTGCCTTGCCCCCTCTCTCCGCTTTTTCAAGTCCTTGCCTGAATACACCAGAATTATATCAATTATATCAAGGCTAAGAGGGTTAAGTTACGAGGACAGGTTGCATAAACGTGGTCTCTATTTCTTTGAGTTCAGAAGGTTGAGGGTTGATCTGATTGAGGTTTTTAAAATAGTGAAGGGATTTGATAGGGCAGCTACTGAGAAACTATTTCCTCTGGTGGTGGAATCCAGAACAAGGGGCATCACCTTAAAATTAGAGCCAGGCCTCCTGGAAATCAGGAGGCAGTTTTTCACCCAAAGGCTAGTGGAAATCTGGTACTCTTTCCCCCAAAAGGCTGTGGATGTTCGATCCATTCACATTTTCAAGATGGAGGTAGATAAATATGTGGTCAGGGTATTAAGGGATATGGGGAAAAGGCAGGTAACTGGAGTTGAGGTACAGATTAGCTATGATTTTATAAAATGGCGGAACTGGTTTGAGGGACTGAATGGCCTGCTCCTGCTCCTATGTTTATGTATCTATTTGACGGGAGCCAGCGTAAGCTTACACTGGTCAGGTTATTAGCACTCCAGTGCCCTGCTGGGAGAGCACTGCATTATCAGAGGCGCTGTCCTCTGTATAAGACCGTAACCTGAGGTCTTGCCTGCCTAACCAGGTGCACGTTAAAGATCTTGCTACCTTACTTAAAAAGAGAAGAGAGTTTCTCTCTTCTCTCTTTCTGGCCAACATATGGAATTGGCCACTCACTTCACGACTGCTAGTGGGACACGGCAGTGCGCCAATTGGCTGATTCATTCATCTGCAAAATACACAGTCACTACACTTCACTGCAAAGTGCTTTGAGACATCTTGAAGATGTGATGAGGTGCTGCATGTGTGCGCATGTAAAGGCTTTTTATGCACACACATACAGCACCTCATCACATCTTCAAGGTGTGCTTGTTATTGATGAATGAGTCTTGACAGTGCAGAGTCGAGCAACTAGGATGTCCCCAGTTTTTGGAGCAACGATTAGACCAGCTCTTGAAAGAAGACAACTCAAGGGGTACCTCATAGAGGTGGATACCGTTTTAAATGGAATTGGAAAAAATGAACCCAAATCAATACTTCCAGATACATCAAGACAGTACAGATACGTTTAGAGTTGCAAAGGACGATTTTGGGACAGACACCAGGAAGTATTCCTTTACCCGGAAAGTAATTAATGACTGGAACAAGTCGCCATGAAAAGTATTGATGCTGTGATGGGAGGATGGTATTGTGGACCTGCTGAAAGGATTAAATCAGAGAAGTTTTTTCATTCAAACCAATCTGGTAAACTTTATTAACTGAGCTATTGAGGCTGTGCTTAGACTTGTTTTTTTAAGCTCTGTGCACTCACTTGTCTTGTGTCTTCCTCCCCTAGACGGTGTACGAAATCTCAGAAAATCGATCTCCTGAAGAACGGGCTTTGGGAAAATCTACTGGATATCGTCCAACCTAAAATAGTAGTGAGTGACTGGTAAGTAACACTGTTCTATTATAGGGGTCGGTCTGGCTCAGTTAACCAACCAACTGAACCAGAAGATTGTGGCTTGAAGCCCCCATGTCAGGACTTTGAACCACACACATGCCTCTGTTTACCTAGCAGTAAGTAGGAACCCGGTTGTTAGTCGATTGTCAGGCCAAGAATAAAAATAATAATAATTTGGTCACTTCAAACCACGGCTGTCTGTGGGACACTGCTGTTTGTGCACAATTGGCTGCCGCCAATTTTCCCTCACAAAATATAGTCAATCCACTGTGAAGTGCTTTGACACGCCTCGAAGACGTAATGAGGAGCTATATCAAATGCAAGCATTTATTATTTATTATTGTTATTAATTGACCCAGGTACGCAGCGAGGAGAGATTGTGGCTGCACCTACCAGTTGAAAGTCCAGCTGCTGTGCAGGAAACACAAGGTGATCGTGGAGCATGGGTCGGAATGTTTGACCATCCCCCAGTGGAACGAGGCCATATGGAACCAGGTGTGTGATGCCCATTCCTTTTCCAGCATTTTGGGACGTCCTCCCACGGTGGAAGGCACTACGCAAATATAATCTGTCGTCATTGCGCGAAATCGACTTTCACTCCACGTCACGGTTAATCCCCTCAATCAAGAGTTTTGGGTCATCCTCTCGACATGTGAATGAATCCCGTTTATACTAAATGGGAGCATTATTATTAATATTGTTGTTAATACAATATAAAATGACATTTGTATAACACCTTTCACCTCGGGAGGACGTCTCAAGGCGTTGGACAGTCAGGGATTTGGGCCCGAGCTGAGGGTTGGGATCAGGAGAGGTGGATATTATTATTCTATTGATATAGAAATGAGAATGGCCTGGGCTCTCCTAGATAACACCAGAGGAGGGTCAATGCCCTCACTCCAATGCCCCGAGTCCCTCATGCCATCTGTAGCTCTGCCGCCTCCCCAGACCCACTCCCTCCCTCAGGCCTGCTTCACTCCTGCTCCACTCTTTGCTCTCTGTACATTACAGAGTCGTTACACTTTACAGTAAATCCTGTTCAGCTCTTTGAGGTGTCCTCCCGATGTGAAAGCTGCTGTATCTCTTGCGTGGGTTCTCCTTGTTATGTGTGTAGCTGCCTGACTACTCAGTGTACCACATCCTGACATACGTCAGCCTGGCTGAGTCGGTTCTCACCTCTGGGTCAGAGATTTGTGGGTTAAAACCCCAGGTTGGGAACTTTGAGATCACGGTGTAGGATGACGCTCCAATGCAGTATTCGAAGGAACCCTGGATTCATTGTGAGAGGTGCCATCCTTCAGATGAGACGTTAAACTGAGATTCTGTCTGCCTGTTCAGGTGGATGTTAAAAGATATCATAGCGCTATTCGCAAAAGAGGCTGGAGTTATATAAATGCATGTTGTTGTTGTTGTTTCTCGGTGCTGGTTTGTGTGTGTTTAATGCCAGCGAGAGAATAATGCGCAGAAATCTTTGTATGTTGCAGATCACCCACGTTTTCACCAATTATGGGCCCGGTGTCCGATATGTTAAGTTTATTCACGAAGGACAGGACACCCAGTTCTGGGCCGGTTGGTATGGGATCAGAGTCACAAACAGCAGCGTGACCGTGGAACCTTGAGCAACCATTGTACCAAAGGCTTAACCCCCCCCCCACCCCATCCCCCCTCTCCAAACGGGCAGCAATCCCACTCGGCTCTGGTTTTACGTTGCATTTTGGAGCATCCAGAGTTCGGAAGTTGTTCAATTCAGTGTTTACTGTGAAGCCGTTTTCTCCCGACACTGTTACACACGAGCAAAAACGGCTTCAACTTTAAAGTCGCGTTTAAGGAATTCCAAAACGCCGACTCAGGTGGCGGACAGGAAAAGAGAAAGGAGATTCTCTTCTGCACCGTGTCCTAGCCAAGAATCCCCCAGATAAAATCGACCATTCACTTCCCGGCTGTTTGTGGGACGTCGCTGTGCTTGCGTAAACCGGCTGCTGCGTTGGCCTACGAAATAGAAAATAGGAAAAAAGGCACTTTACACAAAAAATTCCTGTTAAGCCCTTTGAGAAATTTGGTCACTGAATCCACAATTGTTTGTGGGACACTGCCGTGAGTAATTGGTTGTCACGTAATCGCCCACAAAACATATTGTAAAGTCAATCCACTTTCCAATATATTCTGTGAAGCGCTTTGAGACGTCTCGATGACGTGATAAAACACTAAATCAAATGCAAGAATTACTATTATCATTGAGATATCTTGAGACTGGGATAAGGGAATGCAAGGATTCTGGATGCTCTCAAACCCTAAGAAAATAAAGCGAATCTAAAGCCAGTGGGGGATTGGCGGGATTTCTCCCCAAATATATCTGTTTTGCCCCAAGAGTTACGCAGGCTTGAGATGTTTCTTAACAGATGTGCTAACCATCGAAACGGTTACAAAACATGGCACTGTCAGCCCGTGACTCTTCCATGAGGGGCAGTACAAGAAGACTTGGGAGGCATTTGGACTCAATAGCACATCTGTTAAGAAATATTGCATTTTGTTCTTTCTTTGCACGTCACCTTGCTCAGCTATGCCAATTGGGAGCACCCATGAGCTCACAAATTGCAGTAACAAGCTTCCTTCTTCAGCTCTGACCAGAAATATGTGGAATGATGCTTCTTGAGCAAGTTCATCAGCCTTTACATTGTGTTTATATTATTAAAGACTTGACTTTTTCAACAATAATCACAATTTGAGTGTGTGTTTGTGTCTGTCTTCCTGGGTTCTTTTAGCTTGACAACAACAACAACAACAAGATTCCATTTATAGAGCGCCTTTCACGTCAGGAGGACGTCCCAAGGCGCTGCACAGTTGGGTCATGACCCGAGCAGGGGGGAAATGGTCAGGGTGAGGGGAGGGAAGGGAGGGAGAGAGGAGGGGGGAAATGGTCAGGGTGAGGGGAGGGAAGGGAGGGAGCGAGGAGGAGGAAGAGAGTCGAGAGGGGAGCTGAAGGCACGGTCAAAGAGAAAAGGAAGGTGTCGCCTGGGGTGAGCCAGGTTTCTGTCAAGGCCATGATATCAACGTTCTCATCAAGGATGAGATCGTTGATGACCAGGGCCTTGTTGCAGAGGGAGCGGACATTTTGCAGTCCGATGTGGAGGGAGCGGTTGACAGAAGGGTGTGTGGGAGGGGAGGGGGGTCCAGGTTGTGAGGCAGGGGTGGGGGGAATGGGGATGAGGGAGGAGAGGTTGACTCCCCGGGTCTGTGTCCGGGGTGGCTGGCGAGAGTGGTGGGGAATGGGGCAGTCGGTGTGGCTGCTGCTGGACAGCCAACGCCGAGTGCCGCAGTGAGCCCGGCGGAGGATTCCCAGGCTGGAGCAGAGGGAGGTTGTGGGAGGGTCAAGTGGGGATAGAAGACGAGAGGGACGGAGAGAGAGGAGGAGAGAGCGGGAGAGATGGAGAGGGGGGAGGGTTTGGGGGGAGAGAGGAGGTGAGGGGGCTCGGGTCAAAGCGGCAGCCATAGTGCGCACGCGGGGACCGGGAGCGAGCGGTCAGGTGGATAGAGTTGCCCACAAAATACACTCGATTCACTTTACAGTGTGAAGTGCTTAGAGACGTCTCGAAGACGTGATAAAGCGCTGTATCAAATGCCAGGATTATTATTATTATAGACAGTGTTGAGCCATCATTTGAGCTCTTTCTTACACCATTTCCTGTCCTGGGTTAAGTGAGCAATGAATGCAGTGTAAGACCGAGTATCTCCTGATTGGCTCCTGTCAGCGCTTTCTCACCTCAGCCGCTGACAGTATCACCATCCATGGTTGCCCACTCCACCTTGCTAAGCCAGTCCGGTCTTGTTCTAAGTTCAACTATCTACCTCACATTCGCGCCATGACCCTTTCTGCCTTCCCCCACCTCCGCAACTTTGCCCGGCTCTGACACTGTCTCACACCGCAGGCCGCCGAGAGCCTCATACACGCCTTCATTACATCGCGGCTTGACTACGCAAACTCACTGCTTGTCGGCCTCCCCAACTCCTCCCTCCGCAGGCTGCAGATCATCCAGAACTCTGCAGCCCGTGTCCTCTCCCGTACCATGCTCCGTGACCCTATTGCCCCCATCCTCGCCCGATTCCACTGGCTTCCCATCACACAGAGGATACAGTTCAAGATCCTGGTCCTTACCTTCAAAACCCTCCATAGATTTACCCTCACTACCTCTCCGACCTCCTAACCCCTTATCATCGTGTTCGCACCCTCCGCTCAGCGGGCTCTGTCCTACTTCACATCCCCCGCCTCGCTCGCCCCACTAACAGCGAGTGGGCCTTCCGCCACTTTGCATCCACGCTCTGGAACTCCATCCCTCCATCTCGCCCCCTCCCTCGCCACCTCAAGATACACCTCAAGACTCTCTTTGACCGTGCTTTCGATCTCCCTGTTTTGGCCCCTGCCCTCCCCCACCCCGACCCTCAGCTCGGGTCCGTAACTCTGTCTGTCCAGCGCCTTGGAATCTCCTCCCGACATGAAAGGCGCTATATAAATGTCATTTTGTTTTTGTTGTTGTTATCTGTCTGTGCCTGTTCACATGGACGTTGAAGATCCTTTTGTACTATTCAAAAAGAGAAGGGAGTTGCTCTCTCCCTGAGTCCCGGCCAAAAATCCCACAAATAAGATTGGTCAGTCACTCCCTGGCTGTTTGTGAGATTGCTGTCTGCATATTGGCTGTCACTTTCACCTCCCAAAAAACAGTCACTTTCTTTACAGTGAATCCTATGAAGCACTTTGATGTGAAAGATTCTGTATTAAATATAAGGAATATTATCGTTTACCTATTACATCATAGGCCCCATCTTCGCTCAGTGTGGAGTCCTGCAGCTCAGTGGTTAAAGCACTCACCTCAGAAGTGAGAGGATCTGGGCTTGATTCCTGGGAGGGTGAAATGTTGGGCAAGTTTCCTAACTCCACACACCTCTGTTTACCCAGCAGTAAGTAGTCAATTGGTGGATCGCTTTTCCGGGGGTCATAATCCTTTGAACAAAAAAAAATGTGGTCACTCAATCCAAGACTGTTTGAGGACGCTGCTGTATGCAATTGGCTACCGTGTTTCGCCCACAAAATATACAGTCAATTTGCTTTATAGTCTGTGAAATGCTTTGAGATGTCTCAAACAACAACAATAACAACAAGATTACATTTGTATAACGCCTTTCACGTCGGGAGGACATCCCAATGCGCTGGACAGTGTACAGCATTTCAGCCCCGAGCTGGGGTCAGGGGTGGAGAAGGGAGAGGAGGGGAAGGGGGTGGTCGATGGCATGGTCAAAGAGGAGGGTCTTGAGGTGGGACTTGAAAGAGGCTAAGGAGGGGGCGAGGTGGCTGGGGGATGTTATCCAATACATGATAAGGCGCTACATCAAATGCAAGGATTATTATTATTAATGAAGATGTAGCTGTACTTGGTGCTCGGCTCCTTGTCTGGCCTCATCAGTTGGATGTTAAAAATCCATTCCTCCCCTCCCCCATCACTCACAGCCGAGCCTCCCAGTCATCGAGCCGCAAGCCAGTGAAATGAGGAACAAACTGTGCGAGTTGGGGTAACTGCTGGAGTCTAACCAGCTGAGCTGCATAGCTAATTAGACAACAGCAGTTACCCCAACTGCCATTGATATTGCTGGCTGACAAGCTTTCCCCACTGCTTGACCAGCTGGGACCATCCTACCAGCTAAGGCTTTGGCTTGCAGGGTTAACGGGAGCAGAGTGGGGTGATTCCCTGCCCCCAACTCTCACCTTTGGGTTAGAGGGTTGTTGCTCTGTACTCCCCGGTCTGACTGACTGCAGCGCAATGTTAAGGAGAGAGAGATGCACTGTCTGAGTTGCCGTTCTTTGGGTAATAATAATAATAATAATCCTTGCATTTGATATAGCGCTTTTCACATCAGGAGGACATTCCAAAGTGTTTCACAGAACATACTGTAAAGTGAATTGACTGTATATTTGTGGGCGAACTGTATATTTGTGGGTAAGATATTAAACTGAGGGCCTCACTGCTGAGGTGGATTTTAAATGATGTAATGTTATTCAGAAAGAAGCAATTTTTTTCCTTGGAGGGGCTGCAGAGGAGACGTACCTGAATGGTACCAGGGATGAGGGACTTTAGCTATGTGGAGAGACTAGAGAAGCTGGGATTCTTCATCTTGGGGGAGAGAAGATTGAGGGGAAATTTAATAGAGGTGTTCAAAATTATGAGGGGTTTTGATAGAGTAGATAGGGAGAAACTGTGTCCTCTGGCGGGTGGGTCAATAACCAGAGGACACAAATTTAAGAAAATTGATAAGGAACCAGAGGGGAGTCGAGGAGGAATTTTTTTTTACCCAGAGAATTGTTACGGTCTGGAATGCATTGCCTGACAGGGTGTGGAAACAGATGCAACAACTTACAAAAGCGAATTCTCTCTCACTCTCACTTTCTCTCTCTCTCTCTCTGACTCTCTGTGTGACTTTCTCCATCTCATACTCTGTCTCTGACTTTCTCTCACTCTTTCCCTCTGACTTTCTTTTCTGACGGTGTGGAAAACATCAAGCGGCCGACACAGTAAACAAAAGTTGGAGACTGAGGACAGTGAGGACTGATTTTATTTACATGCCTCAGACGTGCACTAACCTCAGCGCTGTGATCTTTTTACCGCTAAATGCCGTTTATACAGCGACGGCCAAAAGCACCACCTTATTTGCCAGCGGATCAATTGGTGGCAGAATACGTCAGCATACGTGAGTCTTGCCTAAGCTTGGGTCTGTGACCTCCGTCCTGTTTAGTGGGCGCTGGTTATCACCGAGGATATTGAAGGCAGCCCAGACACTGACACCGTCTCCAAACTCTCTCTCCCTGTTGCTCTAACAACAAGAAGTTACATTTGTAAACTGCCATTCACGTTGGAAGGACGTCCCAAGGTGCTGACAGAGGAAGAATTTCTTTTTGAAACTGGTTTGTCCCTGGGAGAGGAAGGGAGGGAGGGGGCAAGGAGAAGAGAGGAGAGTGGGAAGCAAGTGGGCGGGGGGGGGGGGGGGGGGAAGGGGGGGGAAGGGGAGGGTAGAAGGTGAAAGTGTGTGGGTTTGTGTGTGGGAGAGGGTGAAATAACATCAGACATGGAAAGTTCATTGTGATCTCTGAAAACCCACCACAAATTTGCTATTATACATAATAATTAATTAATGAACAAATAATCAGTCAATAAACAATTAACAAAAATTAATAAGAAAGACAGGAATAATTTAGATTGGTTAACCCATTCCTCATTTGAAAATATATATCAAAAGAATAAAAGTAGTTAACTTTTTCCCATCCACCAAACATGGGGATAATAGCAATAATAATCCTATAGTGGGATATGAGAGACCCAGCTAGCGTGCACGCGAGAGAGAGAGGGGGGGGGGGGGGGGGGCGGAGTGTGGGGAGAGGATATCTCCGTTGCATATTTTGTGACTCCCCAAAACACGAGAACAGGTCTAGTCGCTGTGAGTCGGGCTCTTTGGCATTTGCTGGAATATTCCGCCTGGGTCCAGCAAGCAATCTGAGGGTTGGCGAAAGAAGGTGTTTGATCTCCTGATGGAGCCTCAGTGGCCCACGGTGATGCTGCTGTGAGTGACTCTGGCCCCGAACCAGCCGTCCCAGTATTGGGCATCCTTCCCTCGGTGTGAGAACCTGACGTAACGAACTCCCGGCCCGTAATCTGTGAACGTGTGCGATATCTGGGAAGCAGGAAATGGTTGTCAGTTTTTGTCGAACAGCGCAGATAACCAGACAAATAACTACGAGTAATAATAATAAATTCGTCACTTCAGTCCACAACTGTTTGTGGGACGCTGCTGTGTGCAATTGGCTCCGTGTTTCACCCACAAAATATAGTCACTACACTTTACAGTCTATTCTGTGAAGTGCTTTGAGATGTCTCAAAGTCGTGATAAGGCGTTGTATCAAAATGCAAGGATTATTATTATACAGCTAATCAGCTAGATCGTTAGTTAGTTAGTTATTCAGTCAGTCAGTCAGTTCATCAATTAGTTAGTTAGTTAAGGAGTTTGTCTGTGTGATTGTTTAGCCACCAGTCCTGGCCAACAATTCCCCAGATAAAATTGGCCACTCATTTCACGGCTGTTTGTGGGACGCTGCTTGTGCAAATTGCCCGGCGTGTTCGCTAACAAAATACACAGTCACTACAATTCACATTGTTCCCGTCAGTGCCCTGAGCCTTCTCGACAGTGTGACAATGCGCTGTTGATTGGAAAGATGATTCATTTATTATTATAACTCAGAGTTATTATTATGTTCCTGAGGCTAAGACCCTGAGTCTGGTCTGGCTTCGGGCGGTCCGTACCTCTGTCCACTCAGCGTCACCCCACTGCGGAACCTGAACTGTGTCCGACTTGAACTCCTCCAACACACTGAGGTCTTCAGACAGCAGCTCCACGTGGAGCTCGTACTCGCAGCCTGAGTCGTGCCTACCAGCGTACCTGCGGAAGAAGGAGCATTGCTGCCTCAGTGACATGCCAAGATACCCTGCAGGCAAAGAGCCGGACACCTCCACAGCCATTTTGCAGTACAACTGTGCGGGCAACAGAGTAGAATTCACCTCAAGCTACACAGTCACTACACTTGACAGGAAATACTGTGAAGTGCATCCTCCCAGCCAGAAAGCTGTTGTAGCAAATGCAAGAATTAACACGGAATATAATAATAATAAAAAAAATCCTTGTGTTGTAGTAATAATCCCTGCGTGAGTCAGACACCCGGTTGATCACAATGGTGGGTTTCTACGTGTGTCAGACACCCGACTGAACAAAACACATAATGAGTTCAGAAAGATTCACTGTAATTAACAGCTTCTGTGAGAGGTTTGTTAGTGATGATATCAATCACAACCACATTTACAAGTGCTTCTGGCTGAATTCTTGTGATTTCCTCTGAAGCCTGTTTGGATATGTTGACATAAAAATACAAGTTTTTTCTCAATATTAAACTAAGATATGTGGAGAGGATGGAGAAAACTGGGCCTGTTTTCACTGGAGCAGAGAAGGTTGGGAGGGGACCTGATAAGGTGGACGCAATGATGAGGGGTGAATAGGGAGAAGCTATCTCCACTGTTCTTGGCTATTAAGTACCCAGGTCCTCTCGCAAGCAATTCCCGGGAAGGGCGAAACCTTAGTCTCATTATTCCACACGCCTCTGTTTACCTAGCAGTAAGGAGGAACTTGGTTGTTAGTCGATTGGAGGATCGCTTTTCAGGGGATAATAATCTCTTAAAAAAATAATAATAATTTGGTCACTTAATCCATGACTGTTTGTGGGGACACTGCTGTGTGCAATTGTCTGCCCCGTTTTGCCCACAAAATATACTGTCAATTCACTTTACAGTGTATCCTGTGAAGCGCTTTGAGACGTCTCAACGGCGTGATAAGGCGTTGTATCAAATGCCAGGATTGTTATATTATTATTATGTGAATGTGACTGTGATGCCTGGCCTGGATTTGCTGCATTGCTCACCAGTCCCTGACCACGATGGGAGGCTGAGTGTTGTCTACCATCTCCTCCTGCCACCCCTCGGACACCAGGTTAATCAGCTGGGACTTTTGGCACCATCTGGTGGAGGAGAAACATTCAGTGATTTAGGGCTCAGAGCCAGAGAGAGAGAGAGAGGAGGGATAGAGAGATAGAAAGAGAGTGTGTCAGGGAGAAGAGAAAGGGAGAGAGGGAGTATCAGTGAGGAGAGAGATAGATAGAGAGATAGTCGGTGGGGAGATAAAGAGAGAGTCAGTGAGGAGAGAGAGAAAGAGTCAGTGAAGAGCAAGAGAGAGAGAGAAAGAGAAAGTCAGTGAGGAGAGAGAGAGAGACGGGGAGAGAGAGCATCATTGAGAAGAGAGAGAGAGGGGGATAGTGCGGAGAGAGAGAGAGAAAGAGAGCAAGTGTGCGTTAGTGAGGAGTGGGGGAGAGAGAGTGGGAGTGAATGAGTGGGGTGAGTATGTGAGGCAGGGGGAGCAGAGGTCAGGGAGAGAGTGGGGCGGGAGGGGGGTGGGGTGGAGAGGGTGGGGTGGGGGGGCACTGGGAGCCTGGCTGAGACCAGGTGGAATTCTGTGGCCTGGGATGATAGGTGCATAACGTGATTCAGATGATCTGACACAAACCCACAGGAGACTTACTCAAAAGACGTAACAAAATATTTCTGGATGTTTTCGTTAGGGAAAGCTTTCCCATTGTCTCCCGGGAGCTCTTCAACTTTCCACCCGCTGCCGCCATTCTCCATCAGCTCCCAGAAATCCAATCCATCTACGGACAAAATAAGGAAATCCAATTTGCAAGGATCACATCCGAGGGTTGACTGAAGAAGACCCTTCGGTCCATCTAATCTCCAGCCTCTAGAACAGCCACCCAATCCTCTCCCCATCACAGCGTCCAGCTGGTTATTTGTTAAATGAGTCCAGTGTCCTGGCATCCACCACCGTTCATGACAACCTTTTCCAGTCATCAATTGTTTGTTAGACGCTTCTGTGCGCCATTGGCTACCGAGTTTCCCCCACAAAATATACATCAATTCACCTTACACTATATCTGGTGAAGCACTTTGAGACATCCAGAACTTAATAAGGCACTATATCAAATGCATTATTATTATTATTAATTACCCTTTGGATAAAAAAATACTTACACGTGTCCACCTTGAACCCATGTGCTCTTGTTTTGCTGCCCTGGTATGTCTGTCTGAGAGTCTTGTTCTGGGTTTACTTTTTCAATCTCATTTAACATTCTCTACATCTCAATGAGATTACTTTTGAGTCGTTTTCTCTGTAGACTGCACAGCTCCATTATATTGCAGTCACCAGAGCTGCACACTGTACTCTAGGTGAGGCTTTAGAGGTCATCCCTTCCTGCCCTCCCACTTCTCTACCTCTTCGATTTGCTTCCCTCCCCCACTCCACCACCCTCTCATCCGGCTCCGGTCGCCTTCGCTCCACCAACGGCAGCCATTGCTTTCAGCCACTACGCCCCTCAATCCCTCTGTCTTGCCCCCTCCCTCCCCATTTTCAAATCCCGCCTAAAGACCTTCCTTTTTGATCGTGCTTACAGTCACCTCCCCCCTCCCTCTCCCTCTCCCTCTCTCTCTGGCTCAGGGTCAGACTCTGCCAGTGGTGGTGTTGTAGCACTGTATACTGTCTGAGGATCTAAAGCCAATCTATCAATCTAGCCCGGGCTGACACCCTTTTCCAAGACTAGCTTCTCTCGAACTCCCACCACCATCAAATAGTTGGATCATGGCTCACCTTCTCCACACGGATTTTTGATCAGGTTCTGCCTCACAGGCTCAGCCAGTGCCCCCTCCCCCCAGTCCGCCAAGCCCTCGGACATTCCTCCCGACTGGAATCTGTCGTCCACCAGCTCTTTCCACTGGCGCGACACTGGTCTGCAGCCCACAGCCAACTCTTGGAGAGAGACGTAGGAGAAGACTTTGAGCAGAAGCTGTTCAGGTAGAGAGTGAATGGTGCTCATGCCCTCACGTCCTGTGACCTCAGTGACTTTCCTCCAGCTGTAGATGGAGAGAGAGAGAAAGAGAGAGAGGAACAAAATAGGAACAGGATCTCCCTGGAGAGATACACCTTGCTTAACTGAAGAGTATTAGGTGCAGGTTGACAAGAGCCAAGGCTTGGGGACTACAGAGTGTGAGTTGGTGTATCAGCTGGTGTTTTACCCTAACCCATAACTGCCATTGAAATCACCTTCTGGCAACCCTCACGGTTAGTTTGTACAACTAGGACCATGGTTAGGGCTTTGGCTTGCAGGGTTAACAGGAACCGAGTGAGAAGAATCCTTACTCTCAGTTTGTCCCTCCAGATAATAATATTAATAATAAGCCTTGCAATTGATATAGCGCCATCTTCAAGAATCACAAAGCGCTTCACAGAATATACTGTAAAGTGCAGTGACTGTGTATTTTGTAGGCAAAGCATGACAGCCAATTGCACACAACACCGTCCCCACAAACAGTCGTGGACTGAGTGACCAAATTATTAATTCCCGTTTTGCAGGATATTTAACGTCCCCCTGAGCAGGCAGATGGGGAACTCAGTTTAACTCAGTTTCTGATCAAGGGTACAATGCAGGTCATGACAATGCGCTCTCCCCTCAGCCCTGCGCTCTCCCCTCAGTCTGCACTGTCAGTGGTGACGTGCGGCTAATTTGCTCCAATCCTCTCCCCAGGCAGATGGTTCATCTGCTTTGGTTTGGATTGTGTTCCACAATTGATGACTCAGTCAGTCGACTATTAAGATTAATTATTGTTAAATAATAATAATCTTTGCATTTGAAATAGCACCTTGTCATGTCTTTGAGACGTCTCAAAGCGCTTCACAGAATATACTGTAAAGTGTGGTGACTGTCTGTTTTGTGGGCAAAATGTGGCAACCAATTGCGCATGGAAATGATATTATGATTAGTATTATTATTATTATTATCAGATTGAAGCTAGTTCAGCCCTGAGGAGAGACAGCTGATTGACCCAAAGCTGGACCATCAATTTGACAGATGATCTCTCTCTACCAACCCTTGGCTGGCTCCCAGCCTGAAACGCAATGCAGCAATTCCAGAATTTAAAACTAGGATCTGCCGTCACCAGTCCTGAATGTTACCTTTCATAATAATAATAATAACAATAATAAACCTTGCATTTGTATAGCTTCGTAATCACTCATAAGGATATAGCTGAGATTTCTCGAAGACTGTAAATAGAATGTAAAGTGAATCAACTGTGTATTTTGTGGGCAAAACACAGCAGCCAATTGTGCGCAGATTTATATTGATCATTAAAAAAAAGTTGACAGTGCCTCAACCCTCTTAACAGCCTCCCCAGCCCTCCTCCATCCCCCGAGCTGATCATATAACTTTGCTTTTCCTGCGATAACATTATTTTTTTAAAAAAAATCCTTGTGGCTGCATTTTTGAAAAATAATTTCCAAACACACAACACAAACCACACCCTGCCGAACGCGCCTCACCTCTTGCTGTGCTGTGCCGGCCTCTCACTGCGGTCCTGCCTGGAAGAACATTCGTTGTGGGTATGAGTCTGGAATCGCCTTTACACAGAGCCAAGGGCTGAGTTCATGCACATGCTCAGCACAGCCCCAGGCTCCAGCACAAACATTTACCGTAAAGTGCAGAATAGAAAGCCCAGCAATACACAGCCCTGCACAGGAACAAGGTCAAAGCATTTCCAAGAGCTTTACAGTATTTACCCTACGTGTGACGACTGGGTATTTTTTTAAGCAAACGCAGCAGCCAATTTGCACCCAGCAACGTCCACAAACAGCCATGAAGTCCATGACTATCATCTCCCGGCTGAGAATCTTGCCCCGTCTCAGCTGTGAGATCGTTGTCTTCAAGTTTCAGATGGTGCCGAGATTTCTTCAATTCAGTCTTAACTTGGAAAGTGTCCTTCCCACAGCTGCTAAAAAAAAAACATTAATAATAATTCCGGCATTTTATACAGTGCCTTTCACTTCAAGAAGATCTCTCAGACCACTTCAAAAGATTTGACTATTATTTAGATGGACCACACAGAGGAAGAGTTTGAGAGGGTTTAAGAGAAAGAGCAAGGAATTGGAAATGACGGAGCAAATACCCACCAAAATAATGGGCTGAAGGGTCTCCTAAGGGAATGTTGAATACCTCCTTGAATCAGTGACCATCTGCCTACTTTACATCTCCCACCCTATCCACCTCACCATCAGTTGGTGGGCTTTCAGACACTTTGCCCCATTTTCTGAATCTCTTTCCTGAGGTCCCTTGGCCTCCCCCCTTCCCTCCCCACCTTTAAAATGCTTTTCAACACTATATTTTGGAAAATACTCACCCTCCCATTCCCACACCTTCCTCAGCTAGCAATGTAAAGTGCTCACAGACGTGCCATGAAACACAATGCAAATTGTGCCGTAATAATAATAATCTATTTGATATATCATGCCACTGAGAAGTCTCAAAGCGCTTCACAGAATATATTGTAAAGTAAATTGATTGTTTATTTTGTTGGCGAAACTCGGCAGCCAATTGCACACAGCAGCGTCCCACAAACAGTCGTGGATTGAGTGACCAAATTATTTTCATTTTTTAAAAAAAAGGGATTATTACCCCGGAAAAGCAATCTGCCAATCGACTAACAACCAGGTACTTACTACCAGGTAACAACAACAACAAGATTCCATTTATAGAGCGCCTTTCGCGTCAGGAGGACGTCCCAAGGCGCTGGACAGTTGGGTCAGGACCCGAGCATTGGGGGGGAAATGGTCAGGCTGAGGGGAGGGAAGGGAGGGAGCGAGGAGAGGGTAGAGAGTCGAGAGGGGAGCTGAAGGCACGGTCAAAGAGAAAGGTCTTGAGACCGGCCTTGAAGGAGGAAAGGGAGGAAGCGGCAAAGGCACTGGGGGATAGAGTTCCAGAGCCTCGGAGCTGAGAGGCTGAAGGCCCGACCATCGATGGTAGGGCGGTTCGGGCGGGGGATGTGGAGCAGACCGGAGCCAGAGGAACGGAGGGTACAGGCAGCAGGTAGGGGGATAGTAGGTCGGAGAGGTAGGAGGGAGCGAGGCCATGAATGGCCTTGTAGGATTAGGATGAGGATCTTGAAATCGATCCTCTGGGGCATGGGGAGCCAGTGGAGGCTAGCGAGGGCGAGGGCGAGGCGAGGCCGAGGGCGAGGGTGGGAGTGATGTGGGCGCGGTGTCTGGTGCGGAACAGTACACAAGCTGCAGAGTTCTGAATGACCTGCAATGTGGAGGGAGGGCCGGGAAGGCCGGCGAGGAGAGAGTTCCCAAAGGCGTGGACCAGAGTTTCAGCCACGTGAGGGGTGAGGTAGTGCCGTAGTCTGGCGATGTTCCGGAGGTGATGGAAGGCGGTGACAGTTGTGGTGCGGATGTGAGGGAGAAAGGACAGCTCAGGGTCGAACAGAACCCCGAGGTTCCTGATGGCTTTGAGAGGTGGAGAGTGCGGCCTTGGATGCTGATGCTGTCAGCGCCTGAGGTGCGGAGGCGCTGACGTGAGCCAATCAGGAGGGCCTCAGTTTTGCGCACGTTGAGCTGAAGAAAGTTGTCTCTCGTCCAGGACTCGATGTTGGACAGACAGCTATCAGGACTTCGGGGGTCGTGGAGTTGAGGGTAGAGGAGGAAAGGTAGAGTTGGGTGTCATCCGCATACATGTGGAAGTTAACCCCATGTCTGTGGATGATGTCACCACAGGGGGAGCGTATAGAGGGTGAAGAGGAGGGGACCGAGGACAGAGCCCTGAGGGACACCGCACGTGACAGTCGGGGGGTGGAGGAAAAACCATTCGTGGAGACAAAGTGAAGACGGTGGGAGAGGTACGACCTAAACCATTCAAGGACAGGGCCTTGAAGGTTGAGGTGGGAGGACAAGCGGTGGAGTAGGATAGCGTGGTCGTTCGTATCGAATGCTGCCGATAGGTCGAGGAGGACGAGGAGGCAGAGGGAGCCCTGGTCACAGATGGTCAGGATGTCATTGGTGACCTTGACCAGGGCAGTTTCTGTGCTATGGGCAGCACGGAAACCTGACTGAAGGGGTTCGAAAAGAGAATGGGTGGAGAGGAAAGAGCGCAGTTGGGAGGCCACAACTCTTTCAAGGACCTTGGACAGGAAGGGGAGGTTGGAGATGGGCGGTAGCTTGATAGCTGCGACACATCAAGGGAGTTTTTTCAAAGTGGGAGTGATGGTGGCAGTTTTTTAGGGGAATGGGAACAGAGCCAGAGGAGAGGGACAGGTTGACGATGTTTGTGATATGTGGGGCAGGAGGTGGAGCTGAGAGATAAGGAGTGGAGTGGGGATGGGGTCAAGGGAGCAGGTGGTGGGTTTCAGGGACAGGATGAGTTTGGTGACAAAGGGTGTGGAAACAGATTTGAAGGTGTGTAGGGGAGGTAAACACACGAATGTGGAGTAAGGAAATTTGCCCAACGCTTTGCCCTGACGGGAATCACACCTGGGTTCTCTTTGCTAGGCAGGTGCTCTCACCACTAAGCTACAGGACTCCACATGAGGATCAGAGAATGTTACAACATACCCCGATGTAAAAAAATTGGGGGGGATTTTTACCCCTGAAAAGCGATCCACTAATTGACTAACAATCGACTAGATCCTACTTACCCCTCGGTAAACAGTGGCGTGTGGAGTCAGGAAACTTGCCTAAGGTTTTGCCCCACACGGGAATCGAACCACTTACCTACAAATACACAGTCACTACACTTACAATAAATCTTGTGAAGACATTTTGATTATTTGCTAAGATACTTTCTTTTATCAAGGATTATTATAATAACTTCTCTCCCTTCATAACTAGGCCCTTGCCTCATGGATTTCAGGGTCATCTGTACCCTGACTTGGGGCCGTAGCTGAGATTCACTCCCACAGTAAGGAGTAGGCTCAATCCTGGGACCCACCAACACTCAGGTATTGGAGTCACCGAGCCACTGGAGGAATTTATATACTTTTTGGGTCAACCAGGTGTTTGACACATGCGGAAACCCATCATCCCCGGGCTTAAGAGCATACAAAATAAACCGAGATTTCCATTCATCCCAACTCACATGGAAATCCCAGAAATAGATTGTTGGAATGGAATACGCACTCTCTTCCTGGAAAATATTAGGCATAGGTTGGGAAGAAATCAAGGTTTGGGGACCCCATAATGTGTGCTGGAGTCTAACCGGCTAAAACCGCATACAGCTTGCCATTGATATTGCTGTCTGGCAAGCTTTCCTGCTCTTGTCCAGTGAGGACCACCCTACCCTTTAGGCTGCAGGAGTTAACTGCCCACCCAGGTCCTGCCAATCAGCCAGACTACTCTGTGCTGTGATCAGCAGTGCCCTGGAATACTGTGGACCACACTGGCTCAGGAACTGGATTGGAGACCGCCACAGAGAGCTGGCTCGATTCCGACACTCTGTGGCCAAGCATGTTACTTTGGATCCAGTTCAAAGAGACCCCAACATACCTCTTCCCCAGGGAGGATAGTCAACAGTTGGGCGTTCGATATCCGAGAAGCGTGGGTTTGAGCCCTCACTAGGTGGATGGCAACTACAAGGAACTTCCCGGTGAGCAACGCAGCACAGCATGAAATGTGTGAGAGCATTGCCACCATCTTCCTGTCCGCAGCTTGGACACACGTCCCTTCCCACTGACCACCAGGTGGAGGTGCGGAGTTTAAGCAGTAGCTGCTGGCCTCTCTACAGGACAATCAAGATAGATTCCAGCCCCTGGAGGTATGAATAGTGTCACTAACTCAGACTCCAAGTAACGCCTTCCAGCAGCTGTCGTCCCCAAGCCTCAGAGTTGCCTCATCAGTTATGGGTGAGCTTTCAGCGTGGAGGGAGGACCTTTAGGTTGACTTGTGTCTCAAAACCAATTGAGGCCAAGAAGCTGCAGTTACAGAAATGCCCACAAGGTGGGGCTGAAACACCAGCAAATCACACAGAGTGTGGGAGTTCCAGGCATTAATGGGACAGAATGTGTAAATCCCTGATATTGATGATTATTTACAGGCAGTTTTTGAGGCCAATCTTTGTCTTTTGTATTTGCAATTCCACCCATTGCTTTGGGAACCCGGACACTGTGGTTGCTGCGGTAACATTTTTTTCTTGCTTTACCAGCAGAATGTGGCAGCTAATCATTAAATCATAACAGTCTAACGACCGATTAGTGAAGCCAAAAAGGCAGTGTCCCGTGAGATCCACTCTGCTCCCCCACCCGCTAAGTTCAGAGCCTAACGTTGAGCTCACAGTCCCGACTGACGCTGCAGTGCAGTGCTGGGGGGTTGGTTGGAAGATCGCTGAGATGTCAGAGGTGCCGTCCTTTGGATGAGATGCTCGTTATAAGGCCAACAGGAGGCTGGAATTTATGATAATAATCTTTGAAGGAGATGTTGAACCAAGGTCGGTGCTTGTTCAGGTGGATCCCGTCACTATTCAAATAGGGAAGAGAGCTTCTCTCTCTCCCTCGGTGTCCTGGCCAACAATTCCACAAATAAAACTGGTCACTCACCCCCTGGCTGTTTGTGGGACACTACTGGGTGCAAATTGGCTGCCCTGTTTCTCCCACAAAATACGCAGCCATTTGTTTTACA